CCAAAATGCAAGTGACGCCCTGTGGGGCAGGTGACTATGTATGTGTAGCGTCCTCTCACACATTCTGTGAACGTAAGAAAGTTTGTCAATGCGTCTAGGCATAGTACACATACATACACAAATATATACCTACGTACATACACATCAAAAGTACACGGCGAGGAAATATAACTGTAAATTGAAATAGGATATCTGAGGAAAGTTAAGGTAAAATAGTTGAATAAGTAACTAGTCCCAATAAGACTCTTTAATAATAAGGAAAATAAGGGTAAGTGGCTGTAAATACTTATTTCCAATAAATTCTAATAATGATAAATTTTAATCTTCGTTACGCCAAATGCAAATGGTGCTCCGCCGATCAAGTGTCCACTGAAATACATATACACATGTATCCAAGAAATATTCGAGATCACAAAGAAACTCGAAGTGGTAAGCGGAAATCCCAGTCTTCTTCAGGAAAATCAAGGTAACCTAGCCCAAAATGTAACCATTTTCCATATTAACCTTAATTTGTATCGAGTATTGAGGTAAGTGGCTGTGAGATATTTCTTATATATTCTATATAAATTCGAATAATGATAAATTTACACTTTGTTATGCCAAATGCCAAATGCACCGCCGATTATGCTTGCATCTGAGATACATACGAGATCACAAAGAAGAAATATGCGAAAGAAGTGGTATGCGAAATCCGTCGCTTTTTAAGAAAACTTAAGGTAAACTAACTCCATTAGTAACTAATTCCTATTAGAATCTTAAATTGTATCGAGCATCAAGGTTAGTGGCTGTGAGATATTTCCATGTTCCAAATAAATTCTAATAATGATAAATTTTATTTCGTCTGCCTAATGCATATGACGCTCCGTGGGACAAGTCTTCATAAATCTACACATCTATATTCATCTATAAATCTGCACATCTATATTCATCTATAAATCTGCACATCTATATTCATCTATAAATCTACTCATCTACATTCATCTATAAATCTGCCCAACTATATTCATCTTTGAATTTACACAATCACCAACTCTACAAACTCCACCACTCCACTACCAACTTTAACACTTCAAATTTAAGGTAGGTGACCATTTTATATATTATTATATTGTTATTTGATAGGAATTCTAAATAGAAGTTGATTATCTAAGTATATATTTATTATAAACCATCGATTCTGTCTGTGAAACCTTGGAAATACCAAAATTTTGATAACTTTTAAGTGTTTTTTATTCAGAATTTAATTTTTTACCTTTAAAATGCCATCCAGAGTTGGCTGCAAGATGATATCAAAAAGAAGACATATATATCTTGCCAAGTTAGGATATAACTGCCAGAGTTGCACAATACCCAATTCTGTTTTTATATATTACTTTCCACTGTCTGTCCCCGCCCAAACTTTTCTCTTTCATTCCCCTTTTGTTATTCAGTTCTATGGTTTTTGTATGGAAATTTAGAAATTATGTTTTCTTGTCTTTTAATTAATAATCTCAAGGGTGTTTTGGCCTGTCCTGGCCATGGCTTATGGCTGAAGAAGATGGAGTTTGTTGGATTTGCAATGGGGTAGATTGAGAATGAGAATGCTGAGCAACGGGGCGTATGAGTAACATGTGAAAGCAATATATGTTGTTCTGTAGGTCTGACGTCTACCCAGCAGGCAGGCAAGCAAGCATGCAGGCACCTGTGTAACTCAAATTGTAGATGGTGTTGATGCCACCCCTGGTCCCTACCCGACTTTTACTTCTCCACCAAAGAATTTTCTACCCACTTTCCCGGAGTAACTTTTATGTCTTATATGTGGGTGTATGTATGAGTGTTGTATGAGTGTGTGTGGCTTGACAATGTGATTTACATTTAATTAAAATCGTATTTACTCGTTAGATAAACAAACAACACAAGACTCGGGCGGGCACCCTTCCACAGCTCTGCCGCATCATTAGGCACTTGGAGCTCTCGAATGGCAAATGATAGAAATTGCGGGATGGTGGGGGGATGGATGGTAAATTCGACTGGGAGCCATGTCTCAGGTGTTGGCCTGCCACTTAGATGTCAGCCTTGTGTTGACGTTGACAGGGCGACATGTCAAAAATAACTCGGTGCCATCGATCGCCGAAGGCGCTCCAAAAATAAACCACTCTATCTTATGACCGAAAAACGTAGTAAGAAAGGAAATGCAAAAGATAACCAATGGAATGGAAAATCTTGAGAAGCTACAAATGTCATCAATTCGATTTAAGTCAAAGTGAGAGGCTCTAATAATAGAATCAATCAAGTTGTGCAAGTGTCTTAATAAGTAGCTGCCTTAAAAGGGTTTTAGAAATGGTATTTAAATGCGATTAAAGGTTTAAGAAAATCTGGAAATCGAAATAGGATACTATGATAATCGCCAATCAATGATATCCCCTTGTTTTCTCCTTTAAAACCTATTAGGTTTTCGTACATATTCTTGATTATTTCATACATTTATTGTCTTTGCACTTAAAATCTGTGTAAATTTCAATATTTACAATGTTCGTGCTTAAACCCATTGTTATTCTGGGTAATTTGAGTAGAAATCAACTTGTCAATCGATGCTGACATCGACATTAATTGCAGGAAGTCGTCGGTGAATTAGTGCCGAGCTCTGCCTTTTAAAGAAAGAACCTCCAATCATGTTGCATTCAAAAGCACAAGTTGTCCTCTTTTTTGTTGTTGCTATTGCTGTTGCTGTTGTTGTACCACCATAACCACTTCACTTTCCCCTCTCCACTTCGTTGCCCATTCTTTTCCGCCTCTTGTTTTGACTTGATGACCAAGTTAAACAAACACACGCCACACAAACATGAAACGACTCCGGCAATCGGAATGGGATTCAAACTGGAATTGGACTGGGAATGGGAATGGCACTGGGACTGGGATGTGCTGCAGCCGTGTCCAATTTGCATGGCCATTGTGAGCTGGCTGGCCATGGAGTTGGAGGTTCCACACCGGAATCCTACCATCCCCTTCCTCGGTCATGCCCTGCAAAATGGAAACAGGAATGAGTGGGTCGAAAAGTCGGGTCAAAAATATATAGAGCAAGTGGGTGGGAATGGTATGGTCTGCTCATGGCCAGCACATTTCCGGCATTTATCAATGGTAATTTCTCGTGTCAGTTTTGAAATAATTTCAGTTGACGGAAACGAGACTATTCAAGTGTGACCCAATGTCCACAAAAATTATGCAATCATTACAGTTTTTGTTAGGGAAACATGACATTGTGTTGGGTTTTTAAATCCCTTTGATTAGTTTGTGGTTTCAATTGGAAAATATCTCAAATTATCAGCAGTATTTTTTCTGTAAACTAAAGTTATTAGGAAAGTTCACTTTTAAATCTAAAAATTTGTCAAATTCAGAGTAAAAATCTTCTTAAATCACCACAAATTTCTATTGTCAAAGTTAAGACTGGCCAACCGCAGTAATCGATTATTTATTTATGTTTTAACATTGTTTATTGTTTATTGTTTATTGTTGTTTAAAGTTTATAAACCCCTTTTTGGAATATAAATATAACCAAAACTCAAACTTCTTGTTGCTTAATCGATTTTCCTTTTTGCTTCTGCCTGATTTTCTCTTTACTTTTGTCTCTGATTTTCCGGGATAAGGACTAAGGGCGGGCAGCTTAGGAATACGAGAAGGCGGGGCTTGTAAAACAATGACAAGGACAAATTCGTGCGATAGGCAAACAACCAAGAGACAGTCGATGGCAGTCGAAGGGGGTCGAAGTGTCAATACAAATATAAATCAATGTTCCTGGGCCAAAACTGGAAGACTGGCAAAAAAGGTAACATGCCTAAGCAGTTGTTGCTTTTGCCCTTGTTTTTTGTTGTTGTTTTGTTTATTTTTTTTTTTTTTTGCCAGCAATCAATTTTAACAAGCGCACCCCCTAAGTTCCCCCGGCCAAAATGTATTCATCATGTTAACAAAAACTTCAGATTTGCTTGGCTAACTTGGGCATCTACCTACTAATTGGTTGCCAGTTATGAAAATCTTAAGGTAGTTATTGTATGCCCCGCAAATCGAGTTTAATTCGTTTTCTAGTTACTAAATAAAATAGAATTAAAAAAAATAATAGAAACAGCGCAGACTTTCACTAAAACAATGGAAGAAAAAAAACTAAAGTAGAGCTGCGTAAAAAACTTTCTAGAATTTCATTTAATTTGCAGTTCCGCAGAGGGTTCTTCTCGCACTCGCTTTCTCACTCTATCACAACCTATTGCCATTCCTTTCCTGCACTTGACAACTAACGTGTGCTGTAATTAGTGCAAGCGAGAGGGACAGCTGTATAGGCCGGGCAAAAAAAAAGTTTGCAGACTTTTTTATACATTTTTTTTTATTTCTATTTTTTACGCTGAAGCTCTCTGGTTTCTCTATACAGTTTCTTATATTCCTCAGTTGGGGCTTTTGTTTTTGTTTCGCTAGAATTTGTTCAATTTAATGTTACATGGTGGAGAAAACACAGAAAAGCTGAAAAACTAGAAGGGAAAAAAAGTAGAGAAAGAAGAATAGGAGGGAGGAGGGGGAGATGGGCGTGAGAAACAAGAGGCAGCACAACATGGAAAACTGAAAAGTTTGCGGTGACGTCGGAAAATTCCATCAAAACTGTGCGAACAACCTTAAAGTGAGTTTAAGGATTGGTGGCGTAAGTGGAAGTCCCCAAAAAATAGCAGCAGGCGTAGTTAGGCGTTTAAAGGGAAGAATAACTTAACATATGAACTTTAAATATAAGTATAAATCTTAATAGTTTTGGGCATTCGAGGAGTTTTTTAATATTAAGTGTGACCAGAGGGGGCTAGCAAACAAAATACGGAACACAGTAGGCAGTGTGGCTCCTTAAAGTTTCAGGAATCTTTTTTTCTAACAAATTATATGCTTGGATCGTTGATTTTGTTAGTTAACAGTGGGTCTCTAAGCTGTACGCCTAATTTTGAATAAGTTAGTAATAAAATAAGCTACTGAAGCCACTAAAACACATTCTCTAAGCTCCAATCACAGCCATTTTAATATACCATCCAAAAATAATGAATAAAATAAAATGATTATCAATGCGAAATACAAAAAGAAATGCAAGTAAAAGCTTAGACAAGGCTTGGAAACTGCTCGTCATCATCGACCTTTGGGCAGAACTTTGGTTCCTTGTTGATCTCAAAATTAGGTTCTTGTTCGGTGTTGAAATTGAAGTTGAAGTCGGTTAGGCGTAATTTTCGAGAAGAACGTTGTCCAATAACTCCTAATTCTCCTAGTTCTAGTGATACTTTGTCATTCTTCGAGTCCAGCTCGCTATTCTTTTCAAGAGCATTTCTTTTCTGGATGGCACGGTACTCATCTAGTGTGTATTGTTTCGGCTCCTCGATATTTTCGAACTCCGACTGGCAGTACACATCCTTTGTTAACTTCTTACTTTTGTAGTTGGTTGAATCATCCTCCTCAATATCGTTGTACTCCAGTGATCCCCAGTTATGGGCCCCAGCTCCATTGCGTTTGTCCATGGCCTTGACACCAGTACGATATGATCCAGAGTGGCGATCAAAAAGTCTAGCGCCACGATGATTGCGTCCGGATTTACGTAGCGATTCCTTTTCCAATCTCTTTGAATCCGTAACTATTAGGTTTCCCTTGAGATCCTTATCCTTGTTGTTAGCTTTCAATGGATTTATCAAAACGGTTTTGCTTTGACCTTTTGGTAGAAATAAACGGGTTTCCTTCTGCGGTTTTGGCGGTGTGTTCTTGAGGAACTTCATCAATGATGGTTTTCGGATCATTTTGCGTTCCTGAGCCTGGCCCAGGTGCAATATTTCGATAGCACCACAGCAAGATTTCATTTTTGGGATACAAATTTAATATATAACAGGGAGCTCTCCAGGCAAGACTTGGGAGTGAAATGAATGTGAAACAAGATGTAAGTCTTTGAAGTTGCCAGCTGAGTTAACTTGGATTAGTTGGTTTGTTAGCAGGGCTTGCTTTTGAAATGATAATTTATTTGTAATCTTCATATCTATGATGTATATTTTATTGATAAATGATCAATGATCAATGATAATATAGCGTTCTTTTCTGTTCTTGAATCAACTAATATGAGCCCTGAACTACATGGTGGCCCATGTACCGTTTGCTTTTTGAACTATCAATAATTTTGACTTTGACACTTTGAATCTCATTGACAATAAGTCAGATATTTAGTAAACGGTTTGCGGTTTACGAAATGGTTAAGTTTACGCTCGCAGAAAATTGGAAAATATTGATATTTTTATAGCGATTTTAAAACGCAAATCTTTCTATATATGTTCTTCAGGTTTTGTAGTTCAACATATACATATACTCTAACTGAAACTAAGTAGACCTTATAGATCTAGTTTTGTAACTGTTTATTACCTTTCAAAGAAAGTGCGTGAACAAGTTGGGAATTATAGGGACGTAGAGAAGGAAATTGCTGTTTGTAATGAAAATCAACGGATTGACTTTACAAGAAGGACCTATGATTTATTACAAGGACAGTTACTTTTCCTTTAAGGGCCAAATATGGAAAAGTATTTAAGAATATAAGAATAATACATATATTGGAGTTTTAGTAAATTCTAAAAAAAAAACTTATTTTATTGTTAAATTTACCATGGAAAATCATTGTCTTTGCATTACACTTACATTCCAAGTCTATCTAAGAAATAAAGTAATATCGTTTTCTTTGTACTAAGTTTTATTTATTTGTGTTAAGTGCTTACTGGTGGCCGGCCGGCCAGTGACTAAGTCCTCTCATTTAATTTTGAAAGTTATATAAGGTTTCCAAAAGGGAAGGGGAGGGTGCCTGTTGCCATAGTTGCCAAAGCTTTTCACTTAGGCGTCCCAGTTTCCATCATAATTTCCTGCTATTATTATTTATAACTTTATTTGCTTGCAACTGCTCGGCTGGGCTGGGCTGGGCTCTGTTTCTGGTTCTAGCTCTGGCTCTCATTTCATTTCATTTCATTTTGCTTCCTGTGGCTCCTTTGTGTCTCTGGAGGAGTAGTAGCTGGCTCCATGGTCCATAGTCTTGGCCATCAAGTTTTGTGTTTTGTCATAAGTCATGTGCTGCTGTTGCTCCTCCTCTCCCTCCTCCTTCTCTGCTTTTTTTTTGGTACACTTTTCCAGCGTAGCGAAGCCGTCTGTGCTGCACAAAGTTGTGTACTTATGAAAATTAGTTTCTGCCGCTGTGCTCCGGCTACTATTTTTCATAATTAAAGTGCAAATAAAAAACTAACTGGCGAACAAACAATTGCAATTAACTGGTTTTGTTGTTGCTGCTGATGCTGATGCTGTTATTGCTTTATGTTTGTACTCGCATTTATTTGTTGTTCTTCATCTGCTAGAATCCTGTACTATTTTTCTTCTTTTTTTTTGTTTTTTAATATATTTTTATATTTTTTATATATCCGCTTGTTGTGCCGCCGCTGTTGCTGTGGAAAAAAACATAATTCACTTTTTATTATCTCATATTTTATAGAAAGTTGCAAGTGGAAAATAGGGGGTGTGTGGGTGTCGGGCAATATATAGTAGGGATATATCATGATATGCAGGGGCCTGTAAGCCTCTCTCTGTGTCGTTTAATTCATTTAGTTTATGCTTTTAGCGCTTTATTTGCTTAACTGCAGTTTGCATGTGTGCTTAAGTTTACCAGTGTGTGTGTGTACGTGTGTGCGTGTGAACATAATTGCAGCACGCATACATCTACGCACTGGATTTTGCAATTACTCCGCTTGACAAACAGCAACAGCAACAGCAACAACAAGGAGCTGTAGCGCACACAGAGAAATTAATCAAAATATGAACAATTCCAGCTTTCTACTTACCCTCCACTTTTTTCCTACCCTCCCCCCCTAACAAAAACCATTCCCCTTGGTTCCCTGGAAAAACCGCAGATGCTGCTGTTGCTGCCATTGACAACGCATCGCTGCATTCTCTTTCTCTCTCTGTCTTTAGCCTGTTTGCCAAATATCAGCAAATTTTGCCATTTAAGCCAAGTGCAAACATTTTAGCGTGCACGCCACGCCGTTAGCAAACAAAAGACGCCATTCGACCGACGTCGACTTTCTATCGATTTCATTAGGCAACACAAAAACAATAACAATAACAAATCATTAGTAGTAGTAGTTAGTAGTTGGGAAAACTAAAATCAAAAATCAATAAAATGTCATAACTGAAGTATTTACGTAGTTTTCCGTTTCCTACAAATTTCGTTTTGATTATAAAATTAAGCCAAGCCATTTGGTAATTTACGTAATTTATGCTGTGCTTTGCCATCCATCTTGGCAGTTATTTTGGGTTTTGAATGGGAAATTGGATTAATTTAATGGAAATAAAAATTAATGGAGATTATATAAGTTTAATTTTAGAGAAATAACTTGGTTATAAATTAGTCTTTGGTTAATTTATATTTTAAGTAGTAAGTTTGTAAGAAGTTGATTAACTTTTGCAAGCATTTTAGAAAATGAAAATTGAGAATAAAATGCTAGTAAAAATTAATTTAAATAAAGTGGTTTTGGAAGCCTAAAGATTATATTTGTTTATTTTTAGAGAAATACCTTTTGAAATTCAGTCTTAGTTATGTTTATTTAAGTGAGATTTTTAAGAAACTTATTGACTTTTGCAAGCAATTGAGAAGTTATTATGAAAATTAAGATTGTAAAGCTAGTAAAACTAATAAAAATAAAATATTTTTCATGAACAAAAGAATATTTAAGTTTATTTTTAGAGAAATAACTTTTAAAATGCATTCTTAGTTATGATTATTAATAATTTTAAGTGAGACTTGTAAGAATTTTATTGACTTTTGCAAGAAATTAGGAAGTTGTTAAGAAACTAAGTTAAGAAGGTGGAAAAAATAATTAAAATAAAATATTTTTTAATAGACGAAGGTTTATACAAGTTTATTTTTAGTGGAATAACTTGTTAAAAATAACTCTTACATATATATCTTTATAATTTTAAGTAAGATTTGTAATAATTTGATAGCCTTTTGCAAGGATTTGAGAAGGGAATAGAAAATTGAGATTTAGGTTAAATGATGTTAGTTAGTAAATTAAAATAAAATATTTTTTGTAGACTAAATAGAAGAAATAAGTTTATTTTCATAATAATAACTTTTTGAAATAAATCTTTGATTTCTCTGATTTATTTATTTTTTTTTTTAACTGAAATTTGTAATAATTTGCTGCTTGACTTTGGCTAGGATTTGAGGAGTTATTAAGCTGTTTAGATTAGCAGGTTATTTAAAATGTTTTTTGTAGATTAAATATTAAACCAAGTTAATATTTAGAAAAACAACTTGTTAAACGAACACTGACCTATGTTTATTTATATTTTTAAATGAGATTTTTTATAATTTTATAGCTATTTGCAAGGATTAAAGAAGTTATTGAGAAAGCAAGCATTTCTTTACAAAAGATATAAGCTACATCAGGGTATATCCTATAGCCCCCATATCATAACATCCTTTTCCCTTAAAGATAACAACATAATACTAATGATATATATATATCCTCATCTGCCAAGTTAATTCTTCTCCTGTTACCGATACAAAATTACCAAACCCATCCAGTAACGAACGTAATTGTTACAGCTGCTTGTGAAACTTTTTGTTGGCTTCTATTTTCTTATTTTATTTTAATTTTTATTGTTCGCTGTCTGGCTTCGTGCTTCTCAGAAGCGTATACGTAATTTTTTTTTATGACCTCTTCTGTATGTGTATTTTCCTAGCTTTTCTTTTCGCTTTTATTTTCTTCATTTTGGTTGTTGTGTTTTATTTTTGGGTGGGTGGCTTCTATTTATGCGCTTGTAGGTCCAAAAAGCCAGTTCGCTTTTTCTTTACTTTTTTTATTTGGTTCGATTTTGCTTTTCGATTTGCCATTTGGAATTCACTTCATTGAATTGTTAATTTTATCGCTCACAGTGGAAAACATCCCCTAGCAAGAGGGGGGTGGGGGTGACTCAGAGCCATTGCATAACTTTGATTTTCCTCTTCATTCTTTATTGTCATTGCCTTTGCCATTGGCTTTTATTTGTGGTTATTACATACAGTCTGTCTCTGTCGTCCCCCCACTGCCTTTTCCTTCATATCATTTGCTCATATTAAATTTTATTGCTCGCGGTATTCCCTCATAAACATTTTCCGTGTATGTGTTTTCCTTTTCTCTTCATCCACCCTCGCTGGCCGTGGTCTTTATGTTTGATTACAGCAGCAGCGAGGTGAGCGCGTAATGTTTGCCCCAAATAAAAGCAGGAAGAAAGATGAAGATGAGGAGTAGCCACATGGGTTATAATGTCCGCTGGTTTCTGTTTTTTTTGGCTTATTGCTTGGGGGACTGGGCTGGTGTGTGGGCTGGGCTGGCCTGGGAACTGGCCAGCAAATTGTGGCAATATTACACACAAGTGTGCTGGGGATTGGCAGGAGGACCCTGGCTGGGCAGTTGTCCTGACCACTGTGGTGGGTGATCTGGTCTAGGCAGCAAAGAAGATGGACCGGAAGGAGCATAAACTGACAGCAGGATAAAGAAAAGGTTTTTAGTTTGTATAGAGCCAAGGAGTATCCTAGGTTTTGGTAAAGAAATTATGGAAGTAATTCTTAATAGAAGTTAATTTATTAAATAGTTTCTTTAGGCAGAATTTTAATCATAAATTAAGTACTTAATACCAAGTCATTTCATCTTAGAAACCTGTATACCCCCTGCTACCCCTTAATGTTCAAAGTCTGGGAAGATTTCAGGCTTGCCTCAAAGGAGAAATTTGCATTTTTTGCAGTAAATTCAATATTTTCCTTTATGATTTTCCGCCGTTGCCTGCTGCTGCTGCTGCTGCTGTCGTTTTCCCGCTGACTTGGAACTCCCTCCCTTCTTTTTGGCCATATTTTTCCTCAGCCTACATCCCAATGCCACCTCGCTTTGAGCCAGAATT